TAAATTTTATATTTAGGAGATTCCAGATCTAACAGATGAAGATAATAACTTAAAATCCTCCAATGACAATAACAGTGATTTGCTTATAGCTTGGAGGTATAAAGACAGCCCTAAAGTCCAAGTATGCTATTAGCTTTTACTTTTAATACAGTTTTTCAAATTTCAAATTTCAATATAAATAATAATATTGTCATAGGGATTCAGTACTTTGATTTTAAAAACTAATTTACTAATAACTTGGGAAAGAACAACAAGTAAAATTGTTATATATTTTGAATTTCTTTAAAATTGAGGTGTTTTTATAAAAATATATTTATCATAGAATTTAATTGGTTTTCAATAACAAAAAAATGTTTATTAATTGTTAACATGATTTTTTACTTGTGTTTTTTTTATTTATTTGTTTTTTTAATGTGTTTTTTTAACCCGCTATGCAATACAGAGCCTGGTTTTTACAGTGCCTGCTTAAAATGTGTTAACTAAAAGGTTTAACAATTAATGGATTTTTGTATTACATTATGTGGGCCAAAATTTATTTTTAGGCAGAATTTCTGCTGTTATAATTTAATTCGAAAATGTTAACCATTTTATAAAAGTTAGAACAAAATATTGTTAATCTTCCTACCATTTATTTAAGTTATTTAAATATTGTTACATGTTATAAAATATTATTGTTAAATATTGTTAATTTAAGTTTTAATAGTAATTTTAATAATTTTTACTTATTTATAATTCATATAATTATATACATTAAATTATTTAAAAATTAAAAAGGAGACTTAATTAAATCCGTTACAATAAAGGGCTAAGTGACAAATTCATTTTAATAATGATAACAATATTATTATTGAAAAATATGAATTTTTCAATAATAATATTGTTATGTTCACATATGAGTTTTTTTGTTCACATATGAATTTTTTATGTTCGCATATGAATTTTTTTTGTTAAGTTTATTGTAGTTTACTTGGATTATTTTATAGATATATATATATATTTTGTGTGTGTGTGAAAACAGAAAGTTGTTACAAGAAAAGTGTTAGAGTTAACTTATTTTTAGTAATAAATATATGTATGTATATTTATGCGGATATTTATGTATATTTATGTTTATATGTATGTATATTTATGCATTATTTATAATTATATATTTTATATATTTTAGAATCTAATTTATTTTTTAAGCCCGTTGTTTCAAATCTGAGGTTTGGTCACTATTTTGATTTGTCAAAAAAAATTAGTCAAGAAAAAATAGACACATGTAAAATATCACACTTCTACGCAAATCCAAACAGATACAAGTAGGTGTGATATAAAATATTCAGTGAAATTAAAATTTTTTTTTTTAAATTCTTTAACTTGTTTGATAGATAAAATGATATGACTTTTAAAATGATATGACTTTTTTTCTAAAATTTTGAATAATAAGTATTTACAGGTGTGAGTTATTACAGGTGTGAGTTATTAAAGAATTATTATTATAAAGTAATTACAGGTGTTTCTCTAACACTTTTTTAGTTTTTTCAGTGATTATGACATGGTATATGTGCTGACGAAGTATAGAAAATAGTAATTGAAAATAAAAATATTGCTATAAACACAGATTTTTCTTTATACATTATTAACACATATACCTGTGTTATACCAGTTTTTTATTGATTTTATTTTTTTAAATCTTGAGCACTATTTAATGTAGAATGGCAAAACTTGTTTTAGTATAACTTCATAACCACTTATAGAACTTGAGAAAAGTTCATTATCCAGCATATCTGGCAAAAATATCCGGTATACCTCTAATTATGATATGAAGTATCAAAAATAGAAGTTATTCATAAAAGCATTATAAATGAAGGATATTTGCTGATTTGCATAATTTTAAGTATTTTAGCACATCAAGCAATTCAGTATTTTGCTTTATTAGACCCCTTAAATCACAAGTGTTAATATTTATTCAGATTTCTTTATTTTTTTACATAATCATCATTATCATATGACTAAACATTGACTTGAGTTATTTTTTAAGTCAGTTTAAAGACTTTTTAAATTAATAATACCGCAATACATAAAAACGTATACCCAGAAAATTTTTTTTCATGGCATGGCATGGCACATTGTAAATCATGTGTTATTAATACACAGAGTAACAACATGATATAGGCACGATTAATATATAAATATAGACATGATTATTGGTTGTGTGCTAATTAGTTTATTAAGGGTTTTGAATCTAAAGTCTTAATAAACTTTTCTCTTTTTTTTTTTAGTTCTAACAAAGATCAGTATAAAGAATTATTAGAATCAATCAAAAATGAATTGGAGAGGTTGAAAACCAGTAATTCAATGGCATGTAATCTTATTTATTGAATTTGTTATAGAATTTTTTTTTTTTCCTTAAATATTTTTTGTTTTGATTTTAATTTCAAATTTATAAATTTTTAATTTATTTTAAGTATAATAAATATTGAAAGTTTAACATTTATAATTTCAAATATATAAGTTTTCACTTTAGTATAACTAATTTTGAAAAAATATACTGACTGTATTTTCATTTTCATTTATCAACTTATTAATTACTTTTAAATGTCAATTAATTACTATTAAATGTCAAATCAATTTATGAAGCCTACACTAGCTTAACTGAAATTGTGTCAATACTAATAAAAGTATTTAAATACTACTTAAAGTTTTTAAACTCTAGTAAATTAGAAATTGTAAACATTTAGTAAACCTGAAACATTCAAAGTTAAATATATATTTTTTTATTTTAACTTAAAAATGCATTCAATGTAATATTTTGCTTTGCTTTTAATGTAATAAAAGAAGTCTTGATTTAACACTTTTACATTTTTATGAGTTTTTTAATAATTATTTTTTATAAAACATGGTTTTATTTTAATATTTTTTTTTTTTAATTTTATTTTTATTTTAATATTTTTTATAAAACATGGTTTTGATTTAATTTTGACTATTTTAAGAACCAGGTTGACTTTTAAACTTGAACTTTTAAATTTTAAACTTTTAACTTTTTTACTTTTAAAGAACTTGATAATATTAGGGACCTGCCTAATGTTTAAGTTTATTGAACTGCTGCTAAAGTTATTTTTTATTCAAAAAATTTATAAATCCTGTATTTATTTTATCGAAAGTATTTTTCAGGCTGGAATAAACATTTTCAAAATTTTTTTTTACAAATTGCGCTATTTAGGGTTGCGCTGATTAGGGTTTTCTGGTATCTCTTTTTTAGAATAGATACCATACAAACCTAATCGCTAGAGCAATATTATATATATATATATATATATATATATATATATATATATATATATATATATATATATATATATATATATATATATATACATATATACATATATACACACTAAATAAATAAAAATATATAATAAATACTAATTAAAACTTTTAATTAAACAAAACGCAACATTTAATTAAACAAGTTACAGAATTTAATTAAACAAGTTATAGAAATTAACAACAATTCTCTTTAAAAGCTAAGAAAACTATTTCGCTTGCTTAAAAGACCATGTGAACTTTAAAAAATGCATTTAGAAAAGCCTGAAACTATTTAAAATGACATTAAATGACATTAAATGGTAAACGTTAACTGGAGTATTATTATTTAAACAATATTCTTTTCTATAAAATAAAGGATTTCAGTCACCATTTGCTTTTTTGTGTAACTAAAAAGTTAAACATTATGCAGTTTTATCTTATATAAGATAATTTATATCTAATATACATTTTAAATTTTATATCTATTATATATTTTAAATTTTATATCTATTATGTATTTTAAATTTTATGTCTATTATATATTTTAAATTTTATATCTATTATAAATTTTGAACTGGGGAAATATCTTATTATCAGCAAATTTAAAAAATTAAAAATTATGGAATTAATTTGAAACTGAAAATTTGACTAAAAATGTTTGCATATTTTTATAGTATTATAAAAAAAACATTCACAATCCAAAACTGAGCAAGCCAGCTTCACCTTCCTCACAAAATTAGTTTTTCAACTGAATATTTTGATAGCTTTTAACGAAAATTAAAACTTTTTTTTTTAACTTTTTTAAAAATACAACAAATTTTTTTTTATATCCTGCCAGTAATATCTTTTAAATAACCACTAAATTTGCTAAGAACATTAGCTTCTACAAAACTTTAAATATCAATTTTAAATATCAAATATCAAAAATAATTATAAATTTTAAAATTAAAAAGCAAATAAAAAGTTTCTAATAGGGTTTTCTGTTTATTGTTTTCTGTAATATTTTTTTTTTTGAAGAGGGTAATGTTTTTCACCTTCATAAAAAAAAATCATTGAACCATTAACAAAACTTTACTACGGAAGAAAATTCAGTTTTTTTTAGTTTCCCAAAAGTTCACATTATTGGACTTCCGCCTTTTTAACATTCCCCGATTCAAATATAGAAATGATTTGGTACACAGCTTTGTGTAAATAGTTAAACTGTTTTTTTTTTCTTTTTTTCTATGGCAATATTTAGATCATTCTTTAAAATAATGCAATCTCATTGATGATTTTATATTTTGATATTTGAAAAATTTGTTTTATTTTTAATTAATTTTTGTGTTTAGTGTAATCCGTCTGTTTTGCGGATTTGTATAAATTCACTTGGATCACCACTTTGGGGTAGTTTTTCCACTGCATCTGGTGCATGTGAATCATCATTAACTTGGTTTCTACTTGCTCTTCGATCTATATTGAGAAATTCATTAGCTACCTGCATGATAACTATTCCAACACATCTGTGTGAAGTAATTCAGTATTATATGTTTCAGTATCTAGTTTATATTGACTTCGTTTCAAACTTTATTGCAATACATATTATTGTATTATTCCTAAACAGGAGTTGTGGTTTGTTAATCGTATTAGAAGATGCTGTGACACAGTAATTCAAATACTATCCTTTAATGATGCTGTTAAAGATCAGAATCTTATGTACAAGGATTACAATGGTAATACTTTTATTTTATTTCATTTGATCATAAACCTAAACTCTGTAAATTTTTATTGCTCTCATATATACACACATATTTATTGTGTTTTTTAAAGCTTTCTAACTTTGTAAACACAAACCTTAATAAGGTGGTTGAGTCACTAGTAGGAAGTGACCCAGCCCTGTCCCCTGTTGAAAATGAGACTTTTTTCAAACCTGGCCCCAGCAAAATTGTAAGATTTAGCAGGGTTTTTAAATACTGGCATATATTTATATATTTTTAAACTGTAATTTACTTCCAAAAGGATTTCAAGCAGCCACTATTAAGTTATGAGGTACTTCAAAATAGAGAATAAGTTCAAATACCAGGGAACAATTTACTGAAGATTTAAAAAGGTTATATAAAAAATTGTAGGTTGTATAAAAAAAGAAAAACATGAAGATGGGTAAGAGTTGCACATCAAAATAACTGGATTTATAAAAAGTTTTTATAGCATGAAGGGACAGATACAGTAAAAGGATGCAGCTTGTTGAATAAGAAGCCAAGTAAGAAGAGCATTGACTATGATAGTATTTGTAGCTTTTAGACTTTGTCTGAGAGTAAGAGGGTTGTTATTTGTCAATATAGGAATTCCAACAATATTGCAATATTTCTTTGCAGTAAATAAATAAGCTTTGTTGCCTAAAAAAAATCGTGGATTTTAAGTCTAGAATTTAAATCCATAAGCCACTGCTAGGCTGTTATAGAAGAGAGATCAGATTAAAAATTGGCTGCTTGTTCTAAATTGTTCTAAAAATTATAAATAAAATTGGCTGCTTGTTGGCTAAATTGGCTGCTTGTTCTAAATGCTTGTTCTAAATAATCAAAAAGCAAAGATTTTATATCAAGACAAGAGTATTAAGTCTTTAGAATTTAGAACTTTAGAATTTTCATGAAGATTGATATTGTAAATTAAGAACAATACAAGAGCAAAGGTTGAACCTTGTGGTGCCCTTAAAGTTACTTGAAATAAAGAAGAGTGTAGGCCTTCAAGAATAATTTTAATTCTGCAGTTAGGAAGAAACAATTTAATAATCTCAACACTTTTATATAAAGAAACTAATAATAGAGTGAAAACTTCTAATGGATCTTCTAATGATGCCCTTTCTCTTTTAGACATGGTGCAAAAACGCATTGTAAACATAGTTGGACCTGCTCTTGCAGCCAACTTTCAACCTCTGTCACATCATCGTAATGTTGCTTCTCTTTCTCTTTTCTACAAATACTATAATGGGCACTGTTCTAAAGAGATCGCGTCTCTTGTGCTATCTACTAAAATTCATTCTCGTGTTACTCGTCATTCAATTAAGTCTCATCCTTTTTCTGTTACTGTTTTTAAGTGCTCCAAAAACTCATATTCCTCTAGTTTTTTTCCTCAAACATCAGTTCTTTGGAATTCGCTTCCTTCATCTTGCTTTCCTGATTCATATAATTTGCAATCTTTAAAGTCGTCTGTCAATCGTTATTTTGCTCTACAATCTTCATCTTTTCTCTTCCAGTAACTTCCAACACTAATTAGTGGTTGCTTGCAGCCTTGTTGGAAGCAAAGATGTTTAAAAAAAAAAAAAAAACTAATCATAGGATAGTTGGAGAAGTCAAAGTGTTTTCTAAAATTAGAATTGGAAGCACTTATTAGGCCCTTTTCAAAAATTTAATAAAAAATTGAAGAGAATTCTGGAGAACACTTTTTTAAAATGAAAATCTTTTCTGTTTAATTGGGAATTGGATAACTTTGACATTGAAAGCCAAAATGATTTGGATGTTTAACAATATTTTAACAATGCGTTAATCTGTTTCAAGAGTTAAATTAGTGTAGGATTTCTTTGCAAATAACTCTGTTTTATTTTGGGGAGAAGTAAAAAGATCAGACACATAAAGTAGAGATTAAATTTTAAACTTACTTTAGTTAATGACACTATTGAAGATTTTCCAAAAGTCTCTAGAACCTAACATCTGAGATAAGATACAAGATTTAGTAAACTGAGAATAACAGAGCTTAACATCAGTCAGGACTTTTTTACAGTGGCTTCTTGGTATAATAAAAGGACATATGTTCTTGTAAAAAAGATGAAAAAAATGATTAATGCCTAATAAAGCAACTGCTCAAGAAGTGAAAAATGTGGAGTAGAATGAGGTTCTTTGGAGAGCAAAAATAAAAGCTTTCAAACTTTTATTCCAGAAGAAATAAAAGCTTCTAAGATGCGCTTTTATGCATACGTATTATGGATATAACCATTTATGTTTGCTATTTATTTATTTGCTGGCATAAAATATTCTTTCATATTTATATAAACTTTAGTATTTATATGGTGTAGTATTTGCCGAAAGAGAAGATGATCAGATGGATGTGTGGTGTGATTCTAGCAACACAGGAAAGGAGGCATAATCTTAGACAGATTAGAAATAAACATTGTATAGAACAGCATTTGTTAAAAAGGATTAAAGGTATCAGCATGTAGAGAGGTAGCAGCTTCAGGAGAACATGGTAGTGGTAGAAGTAAAAAAACTTAAAAAGAAAATGCTTTAGATAATTTTTATTAGAGAAAAAACATAAATAAAGAAGGCTAAAGCCTGATGATGGTGATCATGATCATGATGGTAATGATGATTATGGTGATCATGCTGATCATAATGAATTGCCAATCGAAACCATTACTCCCATATCTATCAGCAAAACAATTCTCCAGAAAACAGACGTCTGTTTATTACTGCTAGGAACCATTGTAAAAAGGTTTTGTCTAACGCCAAAGCTTGCTATTCTCAGATCATGAAATCTCGTATTTCATCACAAAAATTAGGCTCTTGTGACTTCTGGAGAATCTTTAATAGTATCAATAATAAGGGCAAGTCTGTAATTCCACCTCTTTTGTATGGTTCAGACTTTGTCACCTCGCCTAAAGACAAAGCTGAATTGTTTGCCAAGAACTTTTCATCAATATCATCTCTTGATGCCACTAGTTGCGTTCTACCTGATATAGCCGTCAAACAGGTTGATCCATTGCTCGACATTCGTATCACTCCAGCTTCTGTATCTAAAGTGATTTCCCGCTTAGACTCTTCTACAGCTTGCGGCCCGGACAACATACCTGTTATAGTCTTGCAGAAGTGTTCTCCGGAGCTGTCGTCTATCCTTTCAAAACTATTTAACAAGTGGTTATCAGAGTCTTGTTTTCCAGCCTGCTGGAAAGCAGCATCTGTTATCCCTATTTTTAAAAATTCTGGAGAGCGATCTGATTCATCTACCGTCCCATTAGAATTCTTCCTATCATAAGCAAGGTTTTTGAATCTTTAATTAACAAACACTTAATCTCTCATCTCGAATTTAATAACCTACTTTCTGATCATCAATATGGGTTTCGATCTTCTTGTTCTACGGCTGATTTGCTATCAGTAATAACCGATAGGTTTTATCGCGCATTACATAAAGGTGGAGAGGTTAAGGCCGTTGCTCTTGACATTTCTGAAGCGTTTGATAAAGTTTGGCATGCTGGTCTCCTCCATAAGCTTTCTTCTTACGGTGTATCTGGAAACATCTTTAAGATTATTGAATCCTTTCTTTCCAATCGTAGTATAAAAGTTGTCCTTGATGGACAGCACTCTTCTTCTTATTCTGTAACCTCAGGGGTTCCCCAAGGGTCAATCCTTGGCCCTATACTCTTTTTAATTTACCTTAACGATCTTCCAGATATTCTCTCATCTAAGGTCGCATTGTTCGCTGATGATACTACCATTTATTCTAGTCACGATAAGAAGCCAACTCCCTCTGATTGCTTGCAGGGGGCATCTGAGCTTGAAAAGGATCTCACTTCTGCTACAGCATGGGGCTCACAGTGGCTGATGAACTTTAATTCAGATAAAACTCAATTTTTTTCGGCCAATCGTTATCGCAATAATTTAGACCTTCCTATATTTATGAACGGTAATGTACTCGATGAGTCTCCTACCCTTCATATTCTAGAATTAACTCTTACTTCTGATCTTTCTTGGAAACCTTATATCAAATCCGTTGTAAAATTAGCATCTGCTAAAGTTGCTTCTCTTTATCGAGCTCGTCACTTTCTTACTCTGCATTCTATTCTCTATCTCTATAAATCTCAAATCCGGCCTTGTATGGAATACTGTTGCCATATCTAAGGCGGATCTTCTAATGATGCCCTTTCTTTTTTAGACATGGTGCAAAAACGCATTGTAAACATAGTTGACCTGCTCTTGCAGCCAACCTTCAACCTCTGTCACATCGTCGTAATGTTGCTTCTCTTTCTCTTTTCTACAAATACTATAACGTGTTACTCGTCATTCAATTAAGTCTCATCCTTTTTCTGTTACTGTTCCTAAGCGCTCCAAAAACTCTTATTCGTCTAGTTTTTTTCCTCAAACATCAGTTCTTTGGAATTCGCTTCCTTCATCTTGCTTTCCTGATTCATATAATTTGCAATCTTTAAAGTCGATTGTCAATCGTTATCTTGCTCTACAATCTTCATCTTTTCTCTTCCAGTAACTTCCAACACTAATTAGTGGTTGCTTGCAACCTTGTTGGAAGCGAAGATAATTTAAAGGGATCCCTAAGTGCTATAAAGATATGATCTCATATAAAAGAGCATTAAAAAAAAAAAATGTTTGATGTATATTATTTTTTCTAAAACGCAATAATGAACACACACTAACAAATTTAATTTTCAAAAAAAACGCTTTTCTTCGATTAAAAAAAATGCGTCTTGTCCAAAGTTTATTGACTCTATTGCCTCAAAAAACTAACGTTAGTATGTCAAATTAAACAAAGTAGACAAAATGTCATTATTGCAAACTTATTAGTTGGTAAATAAATTTAAAAGTAAAGTCGTTTTTTTTCAACTAACACATAATTACTTACAAGAATAAGTTTTGTAGCATTTTGTGAAAATATATTTGTATATTAAAATTTTTTTTATAATATTAATTTATATATTTGTGTTATAGGGGCAATTCCACGGCTAAAAATG